TCATGATAACCTGCAGTCAGCAGTATTACAGTACTGTCATGATAACCTACAGTCAGCAGTATTAGTAGTACTGTCATGATAACCTACAGTCAGCAGTATTACAGTACTGTCATGATAACCTACAGTCAGCAGTATTACAGTACTGTCATGATAACCTACAGTCAGCAGTATTACAGTACTGTCATGATAACCTACAGTCAGCAGTATTACAGTACTGTCATGATAACCTACAGTCAGCAGTATTACAGTACTGTCATGCTAACCTACAGTCAGCAGTATTACAGTACTGTCAGCGATAACTTACAGTCAGCAGTATTGTCAGTACTGTCATGCTAACCTACAGTCAGCAGTATTACAGTAACAGTATTACAGTACTGTCATGATAACCTAGTCAGCAGTATTACAGTGTCATGATAACCTACAGTCAGCAGTATTACAGTACTGTCATGAGCAGTATTACAGTACTGTCAGTCAGCAGTAGTGATATCTCAGTAATGTCATGATTGCAATCAGTATCTATCATGTCATGCTAACCTACAGTCAGCAGTATTACAGTACTGTCATGATAACCTACAGTCAGCAGTATTACAGTACTGTCATGCTAACCTACAGTCAGCAGTATTACAGTACTGTCATGATAACCTACAGTCAGAGGTATTTCAGTAATGTCATGATAACCTGCAGTATCATGATAACCTACAGTCAGCAGTATTACAGTACTGTCATGATAACCTACAGTCAGCAGTATTACAGTACTGTCATGATAACCTACAGTCAGCAGTATTACAGTACTGTCATGCTAACCTACAGTCAGCAGTATTACAGTACTGTCATGATAACCTGCAGTTAGTGATATCTCAGTAATGTCATGATAACCTGCAATCAGTGATCTATCATTTATATCAGTAATGTCATGATAACCTGCAGTTAGTGATATCTCAGTAATGTCATGATAACCTGCAGTCAGCAGTATTACAGTACTGTCATGCTAACCTACAGTCAGCAGTATTACAGTACTGTCATGATAACCTGCAGTTAGTGATATCTCAGTAATGTCATGATAACCTGCAATCAGTGATCTATCATTTATATCAGTACTGTCATGATAACCTGCAGTTAGTGATATCTCAGTAATGTCATGATAACCTGCAGTCAGCGATCTATCATTTATATCAGTAATGTTATGATAACCTGCAGTTAGTGATATCTCAGTAATGTCATGATAACCTGCAATCAGTGATCTATCATTTATATCAGTACTGTCATGATAACCTGCAGTTAGTGATATCTCAGTAATGTCATGATAACCTGCAGTCAGCGATCTATCATTTATATCAGTAATGTTATGATAACCTGCAGTTAGTGATATCTCAGTAATGTTATGATAACCTGCAGTCAGCAGTATTACAGTACTGTCATGCTAACCTACAGTCAGCAGTATTACAGTACTGTCATGATAACCTGCAGTTAGTGATATCTCAGTAATGTCATGATAACCTGCAATCAGTGATCTATCATTTATATCAGTACTGTCATGATAACCTGCAGTTAGTGATATCTCAGTAATGTCATGATAACCTGCAGTCAGCGATCTATCATTTATATCAGTAATGTTATGATAACCTGCAGTTAGTGATATCTCAGTAATGTCATGATAACCTGCAGTCAGCGATCTATCATTTATATCAGTAATGTTATGATAACCTGCAGTTAGTGATATCTCAGTAATGTCATGATAACCTGCAGTCAGCGATCTATCATTTATATCAGTAATGTTATGATAACCTGCAGTTAGTGATATCTCAGTAATGTCATGATAACCTGCAATCAGTGATCTATCATTTATATCAGTAATGTTATGATAACCTGCAGTTAGTGATATCTCAGTAATGTCATGATAACCTGCAGTCAGCGATCTATCATTTATATCAGTAATGTTATGATAACCTGCAGTTAGTGATATCTCAGTAATGTTATGATAACCTGCAGTCAGCAGTATTACAGTACTGTCATGCTAACCTACAGTCAGCAGTATTACAGTACTGTCATGATAACCTGCAGTTAGTGATATCTCAGTAATGTCATGATAACCTGCAGTCAGCGATCTATCATTTATATCAGTAATGTTATGATAACCTGCAGTTAGTGATATCTCAGTAATGTCATGATAACCTGCAGTCAGTGATATTAATGTCAGTACCTGTCATGCTAACCTACAGTCAGCAGTATTACAGTACTGTCAGTACTGTCATGATAACCTGCAGTTAGTGATATCTCAGTAATGTCATGATAACCTGCAGTCAGCGATCTATCATTTATATCAGTAATGTTATGATAACCTGCAGTTAGTGATATCTCAGTAATGTTATGATAACCTGCAGTCAGCGATCTATCATTTATATCAGTAATGTTATGATAACCTGCAGTTAGTGATATCTCAGTAATGTCATGATAACCTGCAGTCAGCGATCTATCATTTATATCAGTAATGTTATGATAACCTGCAGTTAGTGATATCTCAGTAATGTCATGATAACCTGCAGTCAGCGATCTATCATTTATATCAGTAATGTTATGATAACCTGCAGTTAGTGATATCTCAGTAATGTCATGATAACCTGCAGTCAGCGATCTATCATTTATATCAGTAATGTTATGATAACCTGCAGTTAGTGATATCTCAGTAATGTCATGATAACCTGCAATCAGCGATCTATCATTTATATCAGTAATGTGATATTACTGTAACTTTGTTGTAGTTAACAGCTGGTTACAGTGGGCGAAGCAGTGGGGAGGTGCAGTTGTATTTGTTTTTACAAGTACTGTCTGCAAGTTTCTAGTGATATAGATCTATATCAATTTGATTTTTAAAAAATTCATTTACAATGTTTGTTTGGGATCTGAAAGTGTGGGGTGAAGGTTCAAGTTAGCCTGTAGAACAACACAGTTATGTCAACAAAGTCAGCTGTTTTTGTGTGTGGTCTAGATGTGCCATTGCAGATCGCATGTTATGGTAGTGAAATTGATGATTTTCCCTTTGGTGTTATGGACAGAATACCTCTCAAGTGACCATGCCTAAGCATCGAAGGCTTGTAGTGGGAGCTAACTTGTTGGGTATTCAGTAGTGGACATCATGTGCAATGCTTATAATATCAACCAATGGTTTCTCTGGCCCAGATTTGATTATTTACTTATCATCTTGAAATGGTGAACATATTGTGGACAAATGCATTAATTCTCTCAGCCACTATCACCAATATCTGTGAACATGGAAAATGTTTGCATTTGGTTACAAATGTCCGACTATAACAGTAAATATGCAAACAAAGGCCACAATTTGTTACAGTAGAACAGTAAAGATTATACATGTATGATAATACATATTGTCTGTGTATTGTTGTGGACTGCATATTGTTTGTTACTTAACCTGTAAGGCAAACGTTTTAAAGTGGGGATTTAATCATTCTAATTTTTCTATATTACATTTGGGTGATTATCCTCCTTCCCTTTACCCTTCATTCCCGCGGGCGGTGGGGTAGCCCAGTGGTTAAAGCGCCGGCTCGTCACGCCGAAGACCCGGGTTCGAATCCCCACATGGGTACAATTTGTAAAGCCCATTTCTGGTGTCCCCCGCCGCGATGTTGCTGGAATATTGCTAAAAGTGGCGTAAAACCAAATTCAGTCAGTCAGTTCATACCTGCCAAATTTTTATTTCGATCACATATCATAATTCATGATGGCCAAGTGTAATGCTGGTCATGCCAATAGACTGCACAAACTGTTCATGTATAATGGAGTGGGGTGGTATGGGGGTAGCATGTGTCACTCTAGGAATATAATGTAGCCCATCTGACCATACTTATGTATGATTCAACACGCGGGACTTCGCAGCAATGGCTGCTATTTCACCTGGGTTATACCTCCTCGTCACAACACAGCAAGTGTCACAACACAGCAAGACACAAACCAGATGAACTATACACAATGCTGCACACCACATAGTTTTGTTTGATAGGCATTTTATCAGTAGCTGATGGATGACACAGTAGATGCAATTTGTAGATTATAACCATTATTCTATCTTGCTTGTCAATGGTGTACAGATCTGTTGCAAAGGATTGCTATAATAGGACATTATCCATAAATTCTGTCTGCTTTGTTACTACATAGTGCATTGGAATTGATTTAACACATACCGGTACACTTATTTATATGAGTGGGTGAGTGATTGAAGAATATTGCCACATCTGAGTGTAATAAATCAGTTATTGTTGAGAACATGACCAATAAAACATGTAATAAGTGATTGACAGCAATCAACCAGGCCTCACAATATACCAGTGTGGGTTCAGAGGGATTACAGCAAATATGATTGAGGGATTACAGCAAATCAGGGATCACAATATACCAGTGTGGGTTCGAGAGGGATTACAGCAAATACAGGGATCACAATATACCAGTGTGGGTTCGGAGGGATTACAGCAAATACAGGGATCACAATATACCAGTGTGGGGAGGGATTACAGCAAATACAGGGATCACAATATACCAGTGTGGGTTCGGAGGGATTACAGCAAATACAGGGATCACAATATACCAGTGTGGATTCGGAGGGATTACAGCAAATATAGGGATCACAATATACCAGTGTGGGCTCGGAGGGATTACAGCAAATACAGGGATCACATGCTTTTTAGTTTTGGGCCCTTTTTTATTTATATTATCACCATGGTAAGAAGTTGTATACTGAAGTAACAAAGTGAGTTGAGGCTTATACTATGTTCCGTCCAATGTGCCTTTATCTTGTGCAGAGTTCAGTCCCATGGTTTTGCTGGATCTGCTGATTGTGAGATTGACTTTACATTTGCCGGGATGAAGGTCCTCTTTTTGTCAGCATGGTACTTGGTTCCATTCTGCTGTAGTCTATTCCTTTTCAATATTGAACAACTAAACAGTAGTAGTATTACTGCTTGTGTCATGCCTGTATGCTTGTGTTTCAGAAAGCCTTGCCTTAACAACTTTTAATGTGGGCCAGCAGACTCCACACGTCCGCAATGTCCGAGTGTTTGAGTTTTCGGAGGGAGTCCCTGGAGGACACAAGCCTTGTACCTGGTTCAATGTCAACCAGCCTCCCAAAGGACTGGACAATATGTCCACCTACCAGGTCAGTGGCCACTGAGACTAGTGTGAATAAGGATATTGAAGAATTTCACTTGAGTGTATATGTATGTGTAATTTATTATTTTGAGTTGATGATGCTTGATAATGACAATTTTACTTTTATCAACAAATTTTGATGTATATGAGCTTGTAGTATGCAAGAGTGAGTTTCTGTTTGTAATCCAAAATCATTCTTGCAACGTTTTCAATTTCTAAACATTAGTAACTAGTGTCTAAGTGTAGCCAGGACAACTAACCAGCTTCTGCAGCAGAGAGACTAGTGATGTCATCAGTGATTATCATGATGTCACTATGGTTTGCAAAGCATTGTGATTCAAGTTTATGAAGTCGTATCTCCTTAGAGATATTTCTTGATCTCACCCAAGCTATATCTATTATGGAATCCAGTTTTGAATAATGAAATCATACATTACTGTTTTGTGTAGGAATATGGCCACATTGAAAAAATCATTTTATCACTCAGAAATGTTGTTTTGTTTGATTGCACTTGGCATCTGTGTACATCAACTGTGACAGATGGGCTTCACTGAATCATGAATGTTTTATTGAATTATGTATAGAGTGTATTTTATCTGGTACCGAATGATCTGGGTTAGAACTGGTCTTCAACTCAGTAACACACACAAGGCAACGAACATACACATTTCCTTCTTGTGTAGATATATAGTAACAATGAATTATATGAGAATTAAGTGGTCGTGTTAATCCATCGATGAGGTTATTAATACTTGTCATGATAATTTGAAGTAAACCTGAGTATTTTACATTGAAATGCATTTGGCCTCATTCCTTCATGTTTTTTCACAACTTGTTCTAATGTCTTCTCATTGCACACTTCACTGCAGCTGTATGGCGATCTAGATATGCATCAATGATAAAAAACCTAACCCACTATGTATAGTGTTTTTCTGCTTGGGATCATATATCATGAGCTATATTGTGTGTCTTGAGTGTAACTGATAAAGTGTTAGCACACATGCCACTTAGTGCAGTGTACTCCATTAAAGGCTTAAAGTTATGACACAGTTAGCTAATACAAACCCACATCACCAATGTATACCTTTGTTTTATCCCCCTGGCATGTAATGCGGTTGGATATAGTCGAGGCCTCGTCGGTCCGTGCACATTTGTCTTTTCCGGAGCTGAACTCTAAAACCGTTCAATATTTCTTCACCAAACTTGGCACATAGATAGATCTGGTGGTGTACTGGTGCCTTTTTGTAGTTTTGGAATTTTGAATAAAACATTTTTGGCTTTTCCGTGGCAACAAGTTTGACTAAAACAGAAATTAGTGGTAGTGCACTTTTCTGGAGCTGAACTCTAAAACTGTTCACTATTTCTTCACCAAACTTGGCACATAGATAGATCTGGTGGTGTACTGGTGCCTTTTGGTAGTTTTGGAACTCTGAATAAAATAGTTTTGGCGTTTCCATGGCAACAAGTTTGACAGACTGAAATTGGTGGTAGTGCTCTTTTCCGGAGCAGAACTCTAAAACCGTTCACTATTTCTTCACCAAACTTGGCACATAGATAGATCTGGTGGTGTACTGGTGCCTTTTGGTAGTTTTGGAATTCTGAATAAAATATTTTTGGCGTTTCCATGGCAACAAGTTTGACTTAGAATGAAATTGGTGGTAGTGCTCTTTTCCGGAGCAGAACTTTAATACCTTTCAATACTCTCCTTCCACTTTTCTTTATACACACCTAAATCTTAGTTTCCATGGACTTAGTCTAAAATAATTAAGTAACTGTCAGATGATTTGCTCTTTCACATTTGTGGGGGTCGGGGGGATTTGTCATCTTGTGATGACTCTTATTTGAGAACAGCAGTGGACATGAAGTATCCAGAGACAACAGGTGCTAGAATATCCACAATATATACTAAAGTTTCATGCCAGCTTTATGGGGGTCCTAACTTAGTTGGATTAAATATTCCTGTATTTCAAGTTAAGTCTCAGCCATACATGGAAAAGGAGTGGAATATGCAGTCTATGTTTGTGATCCTCAGGTTGTGCTTGAGTCTGACGTGACGATGCAGTGTGAAGATTTTAAGATGATCTTCCGTGGACGTGTAGGCAGCAAGAGGTAAGGTCACGATCATCTGCAAATTTTTGTAATAGCCAAAACTTATTCAACAGTGTTTATGATTTACCAGTTTATGCATGATAATTGTTGATGATATCTTTAATGTACATTAGCTTTCTACTTGAAAGCAATATCATTTCATTTATGACAACTGTGACATTGCCACTACATTAGCAAAATGACATTATTTTTTCATGATTTACAAATGCAATTCGTCAATCACTTGTTAAAAACATCACTAGCTTGCTCCAAATACATTAAAGTCACCCAGGATTTCTGTTTCTGCTGATGTTTAGTGTTTTGGCTGAAATGAGTGTGAATGTTTAGTTACTGGTGAGTTATTCAGTCCCATCACAATGACTGTACAACCTGCTGACAACGTATGTGATAAATGGTTGTATTGTGACCTGTTAGAGATATTGATTGTTGTCCGCGGCAACTGCTGATGGTCCCTGATGCTCTGAGATATAAAGCAGGATGTTCCACATGGCTGCATGGCTGTAAGGACGCTATGGCTGTTTACCATCAGTGTCTGTATGATACACCTGAGAGGAAGGTTGCACATTTGGGATTAAACGTTTGGCTTTGTCTTCTTTGCTGATAAAGTTACAGAGGATGCAGTAACTATGTTTAATATGGTTATTCAAGCATATATCAATACAAAGGCTGATAGTGATACATGGACATAGTACAAAAAATCCACATTTTCCGTAAAATGAGTCCCAGTATGATATTGTTAGCTTAAACATGAACATAAATCTTATCTCAACTCGGAGAGCTGCATGAAAAATTACAAGGAAAAAGATTTTTGTGTCATCTGATCGCCAATATTTGTAGCCAGATTTGGAAGGCGTGGGCAGCCCCTTCATCAAGTCTCATGATAAAATTCCCGTTTGAATGCTAGAATTTCCCTGATTATCATTTTTGTTTTGTCAGCACCATAGACAGGCTTGTGGGCATAAATTCATTAATAAATGCTTCACATCAGACTTTCTCCCCATATAAAGATGACATTCTGCTATTAAGTTTGAATGCTGTGTAAGTAATGGAGTTATGATGTAAACATTCCCTCTGGATTATGTTGCCTTTTCCTGTGGATACCACAGACACATACAGAACGGAAATGAAAATTCTAACCAAGTCATAGCTATCCCTAGTGGTATGCTTAAAGAGTTATGCAGTTATCTCCCTTAGCTGTGATGTCACATAGTTGTTGAAAACCTCTCATACTTTTTCTGTATGGACTACACAGAAGACACGATTTGGATCCCCATTGTCTATGTGCCTCCTGCCTCATGGTTCCTCCCTGCTCTTTTTATAACTGATGTTAATCGTGTCAAGAATTTTCTAAGATGATTGGATTAAATGGACTCCTTCCGTTCATCATCTAAAAGCGGAAGCTCACGTCTTCATCGGGAATTAGTCAATCTACTAAGAGCTCTACTCGTTCAATTACTGTTTCTGTTAAGTCAGAATCGTAGGCTAGCCTATGACTAAATCATAATGCAGTGTAAGTAATGGTGTGTACTGGTAAAAGTCATAGTAAGTACACCTTACTAACTCTGGTTATCCTGGTATATAGTCTCATTACTGAGGCCAATAAATGTACCATAGGTAAATTTGCAAAAGCCCCAACTGAAGCAAGTGGAGATTTTTCTGAGTATATCTTGGACTGTCTATACACTAGTAGTTTGGTTCAGGCTTCCTTTATACATATGAAGGACTATATACAGTATTTTTCTCCATGGCAGGGTCAATGTTGGTTTTGACATGGTCATTCAGGAACTGGTTCTGTCAGGCACAGTGCAGGCAATCGTACAGTTCTCAATGGATGTCCCCTTCCCTCACATTGCCAAGGCAACAGTCTGCTTCACCGAAAAGTAAGAAACTGTTTTCAATTTTAGCAAAGAAGGGGTCTTTTAATGACTGTCCCATGAATCTTGCTTTACTTGTAGAACTAACATGTAGTCAGAGGTTCATAAATGCAAAAATTCAGGAAATATGAAATGCTTTATTAATTTATGTCCTTTACATATTCAATGATAGATGATGATGGCTGCATTTAGGATGCTGTATGTATCGTATCAGTCAGCAAGTATCTGTAACATATTCTCTGACGTAACTTTCCTGCGTTTATTTATACATAGCTCATTACTACAGGTAACTGCAGAATTGGAACCTCCAGAAAAATGATGTTTGAGGGTAATAAATCAAATTTGTAATGGCTTCGAAACCTCATCAGTATTGTATCTACAGCTTGAGTGCCATTTTTGTCGTTTGTATTGTAGACCTGATGTGACCTTCAACATCAGCCTGCTGCGGGCAATACAGATGATGGAGGTGCCGTTACTGAAAAGCTGGATACACACTAACGTCATGGAGAGCTTGACCAAAGGTACCTTAATGCAGGGGGATGGGATACCATGGTAGATGGGGTTGAGTCGGGTTAGAGGGGTTGAGAGAGGATTTTGCCAGGTGTGTTCTTTGTGACGGCCTTTTCTTCATAGATTTGAAAATGGGAGTTGTATCTGGGATTGAACATCGTTGGTTTGGGTTTGGAGTAGCGTGATGATGCTTATGTTTGTGTTCCAGCTCTGGTGGATCCAGCTTCAGTAGATATACACTTTGCCAAAATTGGACCAATCCAGATCAGTCGTGGCAAGCCCAAGAAGAACACTGCAGAGGGTGTACTGACAATACAGTTGAAGGGGGTTCCTGTCAAGAGTGCTGGTATGTATGGAAGGGTTTACTGTGCAGATGAAGGCTTCATGTTAAGGGTGCTGGTGTGAATAGGAAGACGCACTTTGAAGAAATAGGGGCTCGTGCTAAGGGTGCTGGTGCTATGGGAGTATTTGAGTGCTTGCGAAGAGTGTCATGGGTAACTGAGGTGTAAATTGAATGATGTCATAAACTTTGGTCACTGTTGAATGTTTGAACATTGTTGATAACTGATGATTACTCTTTTATTGCCCAATCTTCACCTGAGGTTTCAGTAGGCTTCATGTTTTTTTACATGTCAGGTGCAGCCACTGACGTGAGAAACTATTTATATAACCCCTATTGAAGTTATGGTGATATTGCTGTAATGCTGCCAGAACATGGTACATGTACTCTGTTACTGTTTGTGTATTCCAGCATCTGATGAGATCCGATATAGTGTACTACGTGTTGGTGACAACAAACGCGAGACGTTGGAGGTTCCAGCATCAGAGGAGTGGGAAGACGTCTGCTCTTTCTTCATCTACAGCCTTTCTAATGAGAAGGTACTGTCTCATGCTGCAGATATTATACCTGAATGTTATTGTCAGCGACATGTAGTGGTGGAATTGGGTTTAACGACGTCTTGAGAATATTTCGCTCTCATATGACGACGTGCATGCGTGTGTATGTGTATGTGCGGCTGCCTGTACTAGCCCAGACTTAAGCTGGTTTTATAGTGCTAGCCTACTGAGATACCATGCCGCAGTGAAGCATGAATACCCCACTCAGATACATTATACTGACTCCGAGCCGACCAGTCCTTGTTGTACCCATTAATTCTGAGCGCCAGGCAGGGACCAACAAGTACCATATTTTAACGTCTTTTGGTATGACGCGGTCGGGGAGCGAACCCGCAACCTTCCGCTCTCCGGGCAGACGCTCTAACCACTACACCACGGAGGCAGTCAGCGACATGTAAGGATATGATTGTATTGCATCACTAGCAGCTGCTTGACTGAAAAGTAAATATACATATTGCAAATAAATTAAAACTATATATGAAGTCTGCACTTTAAAGGTAAAGAAGGCATTGATTATGATCCATAAAACATTGAAAACCTGTTTTGGATTGTTCTTTTTTCAACCTCCATTAAAATACTACTCAAAGCAACCGAAACTAATCACTCTGAGATTAATACAAGTCCAGATTGTGCTGAAATGATTTCTTCAGAGTTTTGGGATAATGCTGTGCCCATGTGATATTTGAAAATAGATTTCTGTGTGTGGGTTGATGGATATCCTTGTTTGTGAAGTGAAGAGTGACACAATTTTGTACCCTGACTTTTTACTTCATGACCTTCACCTTGATTGCAGCTCCAGGTAAAGAACAAGTGTAAGCGTCTGCTGACTTCCACGGTTCTGGAGAAACATGAATTCTATCTGTCTTCATTCCCATTCAAAGTGCGAGAGTTGTAAGTCTTTGAGAGGATAATTTCATGAAATATAGCCAGTTTAGGCCTTATTACATGTGTATGTTTATTGAATAAAACATTCATCATTTGTGAACAATAACTATTTGAATATTACATATTGACGGGTGAAACTTACTTGACTCTTTTCAAGCATTTGTATTCCATGTTTGATCAATAGTCTAAGGGACTTACCTCCAAGCTGTCATGTGAAAGTGAAGAACAGATGGCGTAGCAGAGGGCTTAAAGTGTTCACTCCTCACACTAAAGCCCATGTGTGGAACCCTATATGGAATTTTGCTGAAAGTGTTGGAATACTCATTTGCAAATTTGTCTATGAAAATGATTTGGCTTTGAATGTTGCTTGATTAACCCAGTTTCCTTGTTTCCAGTGCAGACAAGGAGATCAAGAACAAGGATGGGTCCACGATGACCATGAAGATGCAGTACTCTGCCCTACCTAGCGTCAGTCTAGAGACACTCATGGAATCAAAGAAAGAGAAAGTCACAGAAAGTGAGGGCATGTCATAATTTGTACTGACTTGGTACCAGAAACTGGCACTAGTCTTTTACTCCCAAAGGGGCGGTGGGGTAGCCTAGTGGTTAAAGCGTTCGCCTGTCATGCTGAAGACCCAGGTTCGATTCCCCACATGTGAAGCCTATATCTGGTGTACCCAGCCGTGATATTGCTGGAATATTGCTAACTCACTCACTCTCTCACTCACTTTACTCCCAAACAAAACTAATAATGGTATAGCCCTAACATCTGAAATGTGCTACTATGGTGGTTTGTTCCTTTTTGATAATTTACCAAGGCTTTTCAAGACTTTTAAATGAGTTTATTTGGACTACCATCTGCCTCTTGGTAGTGCTTCTTGGTAGTGAAGATATGAGTGATTACACCATGCCATCGGGATCTGAGGTTCTCTAAAATGAACATTATGAAACTTACATCAATTAAATTGCAGTATATATGTAGATCCAAATATTTTACCTGTTGTGTTGGTCATGTGAATTCACTCATGTGAGTTGGTTCCACCTTTGCTTTTAGGTAGCTTATTTGATCATCATATAAATGTCTTGATCCTGACCTTGACCTCATGACCTTGCAGCTTCTGGGGTGATGTACATCTGTATCCATGGTGCTGTAAATGTCCTGGTGGCAGACAAGACTGGAGCATCAGATCCATACTGTGTCCTCTTCTGTGACAGGCGAAGGGTAAGGTCATCAAGGGACAGATTGAACAAATTACCTCCCTTATGTAATGTATTAATGAGCAATAACATTGGTAACTGTAAAATATTGTTATGTGCCTGTTCTACACCTTTTAAGACCTGTTCTAGCACATGATGTGACACATTAATAATAATAATAATTGCATTTATATAGCGCATCATTCACTAATAAATGCTCTGTGCGCTTAAGATGGAAATTGACACTTGAAAAGAAATGTTTTGAGGCCAGTCTTAAAAGACGTTAGTGACTCACTGGTTTTGAGTTCAAGCAGTAGCGCATTCCACTTCATTGCTGCAATGAAAGCGAACGACCTTTTGCCAAAGTTGGTTTTGATGTTTGGCACTGTCACTAGCATTTGGTTTTGTGATCTCAGTGAGCGTGAGGGCTGATACAGGGGCAGTAACTCTGCGAGGTAATCAGGGGCCATTCCGTTGAGACACTTGTACGTCATTACAATAGTTTTGTAGTCAGTTCTTGCGGTGATTGGTAGCCAGTGTAAATCGTTTAGAATTGGAGTAATGTGATCGAAGACTTTAGACTTTGTAATGATTCTTGCAGCAGTGTTTTGGAGGGCTTGAAGGCGACGTAGCTGATCTTGGTTGACGTTGTTGACATTGCGACCAGAAACAGTGTCAGTGAGGTATATTATGAAGTGATTATCTGATTGTGCACCAGATATGACAAAATGTCTATTAGTGTTACCTTATTGATACACACTGTGTTTGTTCAGGTGCTGACCACGCCCTACGTTCCACACACTCGGAACCCACGCTGGGAGTCTTGGGTGGAGTTTTTTGTGGCCGACTACACCAAGGTTCGTTTAGTGTTACTGTTAATATGTTACACAATTTGTTGTGTCTTCATTGTAATTGTGACAAGCTGTCTGGTAGTACTTTTGTGATGAATTTAAATAGATAAGTCACACCCAACAAGATGGACAATTTTCCACCACAATAGAATTTTGAATTTGCAGGTTGCTGGGAACTCTTTAAAAAATCTATCACTACAATTATTGTAAGTCAAGAAGATCACAATCTTTGGATGCAGTCACCATCCATTTGCACAAATTGATTGTAGATTATTTTAATTATAAGCTACAATCAACACCAATCGTAGTAGCTTATGTCAAAATGTCCATTAACAGGCACATAGCAAGCCATTTTTTTGCGTAAGCCCGATAGATTGCAAAGCTTCATAGTTAGATAGTATTGAGGGCTTGCCCAACCTTTTTAGCAACAATCATGTGTAAGCCTCTGCTTAACGTACTGGAAAAATATAAAAAAGGAGAAGCAGAAATATTGTTAATTGTGATAGCATTCCTTAAAACTGTCAAATCAACAGCCTAAAAGATTTCCATACAAGTCTATCTAAAACAAACATACCTTGTAGATGAAATATGAAAAGATAAACATAGATTTTCTAAAGTGTGTGTAAGTTATTGAAATGTTTCTTCTGACACAAGGGAGCTAATCTTTGTTCGTGACGTGGTTTGGAGTTGTTTCCCTTTGTGTATATGACTTGATTGACAGATTTTAGGGTTATATTTGGGGCTAATTTGCATTGATTTCTAATGACTTTGAAAGCAAACCAAGTTATGTGAATAAATTAAGCAGTCTTCTAATTCATGTCTTGTGACAAATTCTATATCTAATGTTTATTACAGGTCCTGAGTGATTGCATGTCTACTGTTGTAGAGAACATGTTCTTTTATTGTAAAATGTAATTGTAAGGATTGAATGTGTAATTCTTTTGGTTCTTTGAGGTATGAATCTAAATGTATTTTGATCATGTGATAAAAACTACACAGTTAATCCTTTTGTTCAAGTTTTAAATATATACAGTGAAACCTCCTTTGTCTAGGTCTTGTTGATAGGAAACTTGTTTTTGATGCGTCATGTTAAGAACACATCTGTGATCCTAAGATTTAAATTTTAAACATATACAGTAAAACAGGATTGGTCCAACTGATCTGGAGACTTAGTGATCTGGACAAATCGTGTCATAAGGCTGTGCAGATTAACAATGTTTTTCTGTTGTAAAAAGGAGTGTATCACAAAGTGTATGTTTCTGCCATGTTAACAGAAATTTAAAACAAAACAAATGTGATAGTTTCATTGTTTCGTTTGTTTCTTTGTTTGCAGAGTTCTTTGTCATTTTTTGTGTTTGACTGGGATGGAACAAACGTCATTGACGATGATTTCCTGGGTTCAGCTCATCTGCAGCTTTCCACGGTAACCATGAAAACAAAAAAACACCATTAGGCCAGGCCAATTTTATATTTTGTTTTACGGATTTTTGTCCTTAGAAAACCTAAAGGCAGGAGGGACAAAAAATAAAAATAAAATCACCAGTCAAAGTAATATTCCTTCTAAGTACTCAAAGTATGTTACTTTTGGCAATTTATGAAGTGTATAGTGGGCAAAAAAAACAATCTAAGAACAAAATTTCTTGTATGTTTACATTTCTGGCCAATAAAAACATTAGGATTTTATTTTTTGAGTGTTGAAAATTGATTTTTATTTTTATTTTCTTATTCTTGAAAAAATATGACAGGCGGATCCGTAAAACGAGAAATGAAATTGGTCTGGCCTTATGTATTATTATTTTATGTCAGTTCTGAAGGTTCATCTTTATCTCGGCAGTGAATGATGAAGAATGAAATGGGTGTTGCTTAGTGTTAGTTTTATGACTTCTATGTATACTTTGAAAAGGTTATTGTTCTGTGTGAAAAGTAACTTCAGCATATGGATAAATGGGATAACAGTGTGTAAACCATCATGATGTCGTCATGCTATTGTAGATGCAGTTGTTGATGTTGACTAAGTCAAGTCTTCACTGGCCATTCTGAATGTGCCAGTAAAACTGACCCAGCTATAGGTCATTATGCAGTCTTATGAAGAAATTTTATATGAATCATAACATGGTTTAAGTCACTGTAATCTTCTGAGCAGTGTGCGAAATAGTTTTCAAATTTTGCAAGCTAGTTGGGCTAGCTATGCCTGAAAGTTAATAGCCCACAAAATAATTCACTAGTCCTAAATTTGAATGTTGAAACTAAGATTACAAAAATAGATGAGAATAAGATAGTGTTGGCATAACACAGGTTTCATCATTAAGCTGATAACATGAAGAGCATTTTTATCAGGCCATAAATTTGCATGATTTAAAAGTGTATTATAACTTAACCACTCAGAGAGAGTGATGTATTTTCATAATGACACCATGAAAATTCACTAGCCAGTCGGGTCAGTGACTGTTAAGATTTACTGGCCCGAATGGATTTTAACTTGCCACGAGCTAGCAGGCCAGTGGTTATTTCACACACTGCTTCTGAGTCAGCAAGTAGATTCTCATGATTTCTTCATTATAGAATGTTTTGTGAAGCTAAAATTCTCCTGCCAGTTAAGTCTCATTCATTCTCTGACTGTTGTATCTCTTGACCCCCTGCTTTCCTCAACACAGGAAGAGACATGTATTGTGAAGAAGACTCTGACACTGGGCTACAATAAACCATCCGAGGGATACGTTGTTGATAAGTCCTGTGGCATGATCACTGTGTCAGTTGTCTTCCGACCTGTGTCATCAGTGGCAAAGTCAGGTTGGTAGTCCCGTCTTTTTTAGAAAAAGGTGGTAAAATTATGTTGCTGTGCTTGGTCCATCAGTAGTATGTGCTGTTTTAGTTTATAAAGAAAAGTAAGTCTTTTCCAAAACAAACTAACACTTGACTAGGGTACTGCAGTTATCTGTGCAGAGTGGTGTCCCTTGTGCATGCCAGAATCCTGTGAGTATTACACCCTGATTAAGATTCTAGTCTAGAGGGGATTCTCTGTGGCAGGAGATGTCAAAGATCTCCATTAGATTGCTATTTCCATCCATATGAAACTGATATACTGAGTTACAACTGAAAATTTGTTTGAAGTGGTATTGAATGCAAATTACTCCCTCATTTGGATTACAAACATTCCATTAACATGTGTATGATATGTTGTTTTTCTGTAAGAATTCACATTGCTAGAATATTTCCTGTCATATATATCTAATGTTTTTTGTTGTAAGTATTGTAAGCGACCAGTTAGAGTAGCTGTTCAAGTATCTGAATGAAACAAATTGATATTTCAGAGAAGTTTCGACAACTGACTGAAAGCATCAACAATACTGACTTCCTGTATCATGAGGACATGGTGTCCCCTGCATCTGTGGTGAGTATATGTAGTTATGTACCATCCACAGTCATATCTCTGTGCTGCTGCTAGATAGCATATGAAATCCACTGTATCTTACTCTTCAATATGCGTAGACAAGCCAGAATGTGTGCTTCTGTTCGCCACCATGATTAGAGTTATCCCCCCTGCCTTCTCATGATGCATACTCTGAAGCTACTTAAAGCATCTGTTATTTTATGTTTTTCACCAGAGTTTGTGTGGTAAATTCATCATATTCATCTTTAACATTGCTCATGGAGTATATTTTGTTGTTGTGTTAGCCCTTTTCTATGTTTACAACTCCTTGTACTGTGGCTAGTAATCTTACTGTAAACAAATGGCCATTGGACACCTTAGGACAGAGGACCTGTGTAAGTGACAATAGCCTCGACCTTCGTTTTTTTTAAGAAAGCATTCTGCAGAGGGCCTAAAAAAAGCATTCTGCAGAGGGGCTAATAAAACCATTCTGCAGAGGGGCTAAAAAGGCATTCTGCAGAGGGCCTATGTGAATACATTTGAATCCTTGGTAATATGTTTTGGGAATTGAGAGCAGATTTCATTAAACATACAAAAATCTACCGTAAATGCTTAGGGTCAGTAGTGTGCATTTGTTTTGTTTTCGTTTTATTTACATATTTATGTGCATATTTTATATGCAAAAAAATACATCGAGATATGTCATTTGCTGGATATTTGCCTAAAGGAAAATAAATGCCCTTAACAGATATAGAAAGATACCTTGCTCCAATTTTTTTTATAGAAAAGGGCCAATGTTTTCAATGTTTTTGTATGTTTTGTTTTAGCTACAGGTAAGATGATAGTATCACTGTCATTCACAGCTAAGTATCATCTTCATCAATATCTTGCAGCCATCCATAGTGTTGTATGTCTCTTGTGCTTGTAGATGTAGAAACTCCTTTTAGCTACAGGTGATAAGTCACAGAATTGGTAAAAACAACAACCTTCTTTTTGTGTCTGAGCATCTGAATATTTTTACGTAGTTTCAATAGTCACTTCTCTATTCAACTGGTTATTAAAAAGTGATGTTTTACATACTGGTTATTTTAAAATGTCATGATTAAACAGTTCTGAGTTTTTGAGTTTTGAAGTCCATGAAAAGAACAAGGAAATGACTGTTTTGTATTGCAATCGGTTATTTTTTTACAAAGGCTTTTTGCATGTTTGTTTTTAATACAATAATTACATGTACAATGTACTTGTATTCATTTAAAGGCTGCCTAACACAAACATGCTAAATTAACTTTAGTTACATGTACAAGTGGAAATTGCCTTTGTTTTTGTTTTTAGTATGTTTCAGTTGGTAATATACTTCATATTCTTGCAAATTGTTTGATTTCTTTGGTGCATTTTAAATTTGTTCTCTTTAGTAGTAAGCTAGTGACTCTATTTATAAAGAAAGTTAACACTCCTCTTGCTCCTGTCCAACTCACCATGTACTAACACTGACACAGGCATGTGTGTATGGATAGACTGAACATCAACTAGAACTGGACATGAGAGCTGGCTTGACACTTCTCCTGTAACTTTGACTGTGTATATTGTCTACTATGGGGCACATGTGATAATGCAACATTTCTTGGTAATATATACTAACATACTGTTCAGTAGATGTTGGGACAATTTTGCATCAGCTAACTGATTAATTGTATTTGCTTTATGATACCAAACCACATGGGAATGAAGTTTTTTTCTTGATTACGATTTTTAAATTACAAAAGATTAGGAAGGTTAATAAGGAAATATAATGACATGAAACTAATTATTTTAGTAAACTTATAAAAATATTTGTTAACCTTGTGTGCCCAGTGGCCACTTCAGATGCATATAGTGCACATACAACCCACGCTGGGCACAGGTGGCCTAATCATCTGCTGTGAGGAGTTGTGGCCCCTGGCAGAACATCCTAAAATTTAGAATACAAGATGAAGATACACACTATCTCAAATAGGATTATAATAATTTGAAACATCGTTTTAATGAGGTGATGCACATGTCGTTGTACACCAACTCTTATGTGTTAGGCTCCGGCTGTGAATCACTCGTTTGTCTGGTCTGAGTTGGGACAATCCACAGGCTGTCAACAGGTGTAAAGAATATTGAATGCTGTGGAAGACAAAATTCACAATGTCACTGATAAGAACAGACTATGTGTCAAATTGTATTCAATCCATACAACAGAATACTAGTCAACTAGCAGTATTTGTAAGGACAACAGTATTCCATAATTTTGAACAGGTTGCTGAATAGGTTTTACATGGTAATGAAGTTCTCCCTATTCTGCATGTGAAAAAGTATGTAAATGAAGAATCTAACATCAGCTTTATTTGCCTGTCCACAATTGACACCGTGTTTCTGTAACTCTTCATGCCTCTTCAATTAACCCCATGAAGACCTGGGTTGATATTTGTCCTTCAGCAATCCAGCCTTGTTTTTGCTGAATGTTTGATTGTCTGGTTGAGACTCAGTTATTTAGAGACCCCTGTCATATAGCTGTAATATTGTATGGTTTTAAACAAACAAATCTTATCGCATCACATGAGGTCACCATTTGCATGAATGTGTTCGTGTGTCTGTCGCCATGTTTTGCCATTACAAAGAAACTCTCATTTATGTTTGATATAGTATGCTTTATTTTGTTTTTTATGCTTTCTGTTGTGTTTATGTTTTATGTTATTTTCCTTTGAAATTATGAGTTATGAACATTATTTATTTATATATACATTCATTGGAGGTCACAAAGTAAGGGAGATAACTCCTATCTATCTCTCTATCTCTCTCTCTCTCTATCTATCTGAACATTGTATCATATTCATCATTGTTCATCTTCTATCTGCCTGCCTGTTCTCTGTCTATCTGACCACTGTTCCATTTTTACCATTGATCATCTATTGTACAATGGGGTTTCCAGCTTGATTTTGAGCTCCACAAACTTGGTTCCTGACCACCCATTCAGGTTAGCCACAGTGGCCCTGGCTGTAATAGTGTCGGTTCACACCACAACGAATCACTGTAAGGTGTAGCCTGCTTCTGACTTTACTGCCTCCCATCTGCTGTGACTTTAAGAGTATGTTACATCCGTCCTTCTCGTACAAAACTGTAATCACCCATTCATCCTTAATCAACCATGTTTCATACCATAGAGTCTTTTTGAGTAACTTTGTTTGAGTCCTAATGTATTATGATACCATTTCCTTGCCATTTTGTCTGTTCTGTAAATCTTGACACTAAGAATATATTTTACTTGTGAATGTGTCTGGAAAGGATATGGTATCATAAAAATATGACTTAGATGTGTATGCACTGGAAACAAAGTCTTGGATCAGAAATGTACAAATTTATGAAATATGAGAATTTTATTGTTTTAAATTGTAATCTTGTATTTGTTTTGGTCCAAATTTGTTCACCATCTGATCCAAGACAGTTGTGTTTAGTGTGATGAACTAGACTTCAGTTTTAGATCGACCCAGTGTGTTTTCTTCATTTGCTGTCATAACTAATATATGTTCTCTTCCAGATTAACATGTCCTGTGATCTTTTTAATAAGTAGTTATTGATCTTTCTGTTTCACTGAATTCTTTATCCCAGAACATGGCATATCTCCGCCTACCTAAACGAGAAGATGACCAGGTACAATGTCCGCCATTTTGTTGTCGTCTGCTAGTTTCTGGCTTCTAGTCACTTGCATGATTGTACTGCCTTCGTTGGGTAGCGGCGACTCAAGGGTCAAGCATACAACTAACACCATACATGCACCTACACACGACCAACTATATACTGGATTTATAGACTTCCCACATCAGTCGAGTAAATGTTTACTGTTAATCCTCAATCAAAAGCCATGATATAACTTTTCCTGTGATAGAATGACAAGGAGCCAACAGAATGAAATTTCAAAATTTTGATAAGCCATACCTGATATAATAAATTCCATAAGGAGCCTAACTCACAATTCCCTTAGCTCTCACAGTTCCCTTAGCTCTTTCGATTTGAATAACCTTGGTAATGTTGTCTGTGCCTGTTGTCTGCAAATAGTTTGTTGCAGAATAACATGCTCAATTCAAAATTTCTTTTGAAACATTGAGATGAAAACCTCACAAGATAATTTTTGGACCCTATTATTGTCACTGTTATTTTGACCTGGCCTCTGTTGATTTTCTAACTCAAATGATACTGTCACATATAGAGGATTAATGGTACTGAACATATGTTATCCTGGAACTTTCTTTAATATGTGATCACTGACAAGAAAATTATAACTTTCACACTACATGGCATATATTTTTTTCAATCTGCTATTAATGCATCTTAATAATTATCCTGGAACTCTCTTTAATATGTGATCACTGACAAGAAAATTATAACTTTCACACTACATGGCATATAATTTTTTCAATCTGCTATTAATGCATCTTAATAAATCTCCCACTGAACCTTCCCAAGAAAACATAACTAATCTTGACCATGTGTATAGCTAACATATGTCTTTGGAAAAGGGCCATATTGTACATTTAATTTTTACTATGGGAAGGGTCTTGTTCAAAATCACATGAAGCTAGAATGTAAAATTTGATTTAGTTTCTGGTGGGACTATACTTTGAAATTAAGTTTCTGATACATTGGAAACAATTGACGACGTGATAACTCTAGGATATGGTTTATTTAGCATCCAAAGACAGGAATGCAGAATTTTTAATGTTTTTTAAATATTCAAGCAAACACCAATGGAATTCATTGTCATGCAACTAAATTGGTTCACAGCCATGATTGAACAAAATTATCTTTTCTGTTTTGCATTTTAGCTTCATCAATCTTTGGACAAGACCTATTACATCTAGTTGTAGAAAAATCTAACATAACATAACTGTACCAGTGCCAAGTAGATCCCTGCTTAAATCAGTATTGTTTATGTTGATGAGAGGGCTGAATTACATCAATGTCCTAGTTGTGTTCAATTATGAACAGGGACAGTGGGGTAGCCTAGTGGTTAAAGATCTCACTTGTCATGGGTTCAGGTTAGTAGCCTAAGTGGTTAAAGATCTCACTTGTCATGGGTTCAAAGACCTGGGTTCTATTCCTCACATTGGAACAATGTGTGGAGTCCATTTTCTGGTGTCCCCACTGTGATATTGCTGGGATATTGCTAAAATTGCCGTAAAACCTTACTTACTCACCCACTCACCCATTCGTGAACACTGTCAGAGTGATTGCATTTAGAAAATTTGATATACACCAGTTGGTGAAGTAAAAGTGTTAACGCATCAATTTTATAAATAATGATGTTTATTTTGAAAAATTGATTAAATTTGATTACCTGCATAAAAAAGTGCCTTCATTCATTCTTAGTGTTCATGTAACCACTTTTTTTCTGTATTCCCAATTTTCACTCCAGTATGTTATTCCACAAACTGGGATGAGATACGTATGATATGCTAGTCAGGATACTCAATTATCATTGGTGCTATAGTGCTGATTGACCCATTAGTCCCATATATCTGTATATCCTACGTGATGTATAGTATATCCACCTTTATGGTACTCCGGTCACCTATCATGTAACTCTCCTTTCTCAATGTAAACTGAGTGAGTCTTATCCTTTGTTTTCCCCATCCTTCTGTCTGGGAGACTTCCCTCAAGCTGAGATGTATTCACCTTTCTGAGAGAGGTTTCCACTCTTTCTGGAATGGATTTATGTTTCTTGGACCAGAGACAATACACCCATACATGTATATTGTATATGATCTCTGCTGAGACTTTCTCTCATTTCTGGGAGTGTTGGATCTCTGTCTGACATCTTTCTGAGGTAACAAATCTGTTTCCATCCTTTAAAATATTCCTCTCATTTCCTTTCTCAGTCTTTCTTTGCCTGTATATACAGTGTTTGTCCCATTCTAGTCAATAAGTTCTATCTTCCCTTTGTTTGACTTGAAGCTGTGTATATATCTTCCCAGTTTACAATCAACAACACCATGCAGGTCATGCTCCATAGTGTGTTCTGTCCACCACACTGTCACCATCTTGGTATCTTGTATTCCTTTGACTGAGAAGATGCATAGGTGGACCAGTGGTGTAAGGTGCTGTAATTCCCAATGTCAGAACCACTGGTTGGGGGGTTTGAATCCCAAATTCTCCTGACTTGTCATACTTGGTTTGGCAGTGCCCTTCACCAAAGTTATAACAGGCTGTGACAAGTTATTAGGCTTGCTTCTTGTGAACTTACTCTGACATCTTGAGCTATGAATGAAACACTGTACAACCAAACTCTCAAGGAACAACTTTGTTCCAGTTTATGTGTTTTGCTTGAGTGCTGAACCCTACAGTGGTAACCAGTGAATTCTGATAACAGAGCTGCAGTTCTGCTGATCCCAATCCAGTTATATATGGGATTCCAGGCTTGATGGGATACCCACCTACTGACAGGTTACTGTGTAAGGTGTGACACTGCTGACTGGGGTTTAACACAAGTGTATATATCTCACTCCAACCTGATACCCCTGCATCTTTCCTTTGAGGGATGGGGTAATTTACACCTGCATTGGCAAGTGCCTATTTCTGGTGTCATACAATATTGCACCTCAAGTCAGTCACCTTTGAGGGATGAATTACACCTGCATAAGGCATTTTCAACACACCTCAAACACAGTAGTACCCAAGAGTTATGTCCCCTTGGAATTGTGCCATCTGCTCATGCATCACTGAAAGAAAATATAGAACAGACTGATCATCTGTCGGACAGTATGTGAATTGTGCCATCAGCTTGTGTATCATTGAAAGAAAATATACAGTAATGAGTCTAGAACAGGACTGATTATCTGAACATTATGGTTACAATAATGCCTATTCCTGATTTCCCCTCATATATTGCTGCAACATTTTGAGAGAAACACCCACCTCAGTTTGATCCATATTTTGTATCTGAGAGCTATGTTAGAAAACCTTTCTCTGTAAAGAGCGGAATAATAGTCCCCAAGAATGGTATTTAGTCACTTGTCACATATTCATGTCATAACCCCATCACATCTTGTATTCATGTACTGTCATTTTCACCCTGGCATCAGTAATTCATATTCAAGTCTCTCATCTATATTTCACCGATATTGCATGGATAATTACTGTATATGTGATTTTAGACAATTGTTTTGGTATGTGTATGATTGCATGATGTGTATTTAGTTAATTATACAGATGTTGCCTGGTGTTGTTTTAATCCCTGCAGGAAATAATGTGAATGGCATAACATTGTGTTTTTCATTTAAGATGAGTTAAGGCTTTGACAGTTAAGTGACAGTTTGTATGAAATGCATATTCATACAGATTGACTAAAATGATGTCAGTCATATTTTGATTTCAGGCTTTGTAATATTTCTTAGGCTTCAGTAGTTACAGATTGTTCTGATTTAATAAAAAAATGTTTTTGCAGTGGAAATAGAAATGATGTTGTTCTGTAATAATTTGTGGTCCCCACTGTTGTTTGTGATAGGCTGCCAGAGCTTCAACAAGTGCCTCAGCTTACATTGAAGAATACCTGGAAGGTATGTTGCTACATGAAAATATTCTTTTCAGACTTTAAATACTCTGTCAAACTGAACAGTGTCATTCCTTCAAATCATCAGGATTATCAAATCTGTTCATTAAAAATGAAAAATGTTATTCATTGAATATATGTGTATGTTTTGAACAGGAATTGTTTGAATTGTTTTGAATAGGTACCTAGTAACATATAGTTGTCAGGCAACCAGATTCATGAGGTGGTCAGGGTAACTTGGCTGATTGTGGATACTGTACTGATTGTGGATACTGTACTGATTGTGGGTGTTTGATGTTGCTCATTCTGTCAACCTTTTGTTTTTCTAGTTCAGGCTCGATTGTTAACAGGTTTCTGTAATGAGCTGGATTATTGCTGGATGTGGCACTGAACAACCCTCCATGGCTTACTCAGTGAAGCTTTATGTTTGCATTAAGCGTAGTGGTGCCTAGAGGTGGTGCCCAGATGATTCCAGTGTGATGTTCTTATGTTTCAGGGAAGACGATTGTAGAACTGACAATCCTACAGGCCAAGGATCTGGTTGCTATGGACAGAAATGGTATGTCTCAGTTAAGAACGACTTAACACTATCACAGTGTGTAAGACTTGGATCATTCCACCTTGGCCAATGGCCAAATACCTTCAATGACTGAATGTAACTCCTGTACTCCTATACTAACTCATTTACATTGGCTTAATAAGTTTGTTTTGAAGAACTGCTCTAGGAAGCTCTGCTATTAGTAGTTTAGGCCAGACCAATTTTATTTCTTGTTTTACGGATTTTTGTCCTCAGAGAACCTAAATGCAGGAGGGAAAAAAATTAAAAAATAACAATAAATAAATCCAAAATGTATTTTACTTTTGGCAATTTATGAAGTGTATATGGGGCAAAACACAATCTAAAAATATTTCTTGTAAATTTACATGTTTGACCAATAAAACATTAGGATTTTATTTTTTGAGCAGGAAAATTAGCCTTTATTAGCCAAAAAAATACGACAGGTGGATCCGTAAAACAAGAAATAAAATTGGTCTGGCCTTGTATAACACTAAAATCTACTGAACATAAAGTTATAAGTCACAGTTTTTTGGTGCAGACTGTATGGCATGTTATGCGGATGGACAACATTCCATATATTTCATTGCAGGGAAGGCACATATTGTCATTGTTCTGATTCTAAGTGAGAGTTACTTCCCCTAGTCCTACCGGGCCAGCTGTTATCATACTTGCCTTCACCAGAAAGTGATCAATGTCAAGAAGTTGTGTCACTTTAGGATGATTTCTTTAACTACACACATCACTATCATGAAATTGTTTTTGCAAATTGAAGAGTGAGCTGACTTAAAACAGCCAACCAGAGTAGGTGTTGTTCTAGCGCTTGAAGATGGACCTATCCCCTGAACAATATGGTAATTTGGCCTTGATATAACTGATAAGCTGTTCAAATACCAATCATTGAAATTACAAGAACAGTTGAGTCAGAATGACAGACAGACAAATGAACTCTGGTGATCAATATATAGTCTCTGTGAACCCATTAGTATTGGATTGAGTGAAGAATAGGCAGTGGGCAAACCTAATGGTAGAAGAGTTCACTTGTCACACCAAAGATCATGGTTCTTTTGCCCAGTTGAGTGCAGTGTGTGAAAGCCTTTTCTAGTATCCTTCAAGGGGATATGGGGCGGTTGGGTAGCCTAATGGTTAAAGCGTTGGCTCGTCACGCCGAAGACCCGGGTTCGATTCCCCACATGGGCACAATGTGTGAAGCCCATTTCTGGTGTCCCCTGCCGTGATGTTGCTGGAATATTGCTAAAAGCGGCATAAAACCAAACTCAGTCAGTCAGTCAGTCAAGGGGATATTAGTGGAATATTGCAAAAAGTGGTGTAAAACCCACTCACAACTTACACTTGAGTAAGAAGCTACTTATGTGATTCTGTTCCAGGTTACAGTGACCCCTTCTGTGTTGTGTTGAAGAACGGGAAGAAAGTGTTCACCACAGCTGTGAAGAAGAAGACATTGTTCCCCAAGTGGAATGAGACTGTGACAGTGGAACTCGAGGGAGATGATGCCATACTTACCATAGTGAGTTGAACAGGAACAGAAGATATTGCTGCTGAGGAGATTACGTGCTTTATGAACAGGGCAAGAATGTTTAGTGTTTTAGGACAAGCAACAAGTATGTTTAGTGTTGTAGGACAAGCAACAAGAATGTTTAGTGTTGTAGGACAAGCAACAAGAATGTTTAGTGTTTTAGGACAAGCAACAAGAATGTTTAGTGTTGTAGGACAAGCAACAAGAATGTTTAGTGTTTTAGGACAAGCAACAAGTATGTTTAGTGTTGTAGGACAAGCAACAAGTATGTTTAGTGTTGTAGGACAAGCAACAAGAATGTTTAGTGTTGTAGGACAAGCAACAAGTATGTTTAGTGTTGTAGGACAAGCAACAAGAATGTTTAGTGTTTTAGGACAAGCAACAAGTATGTTTAGTGCCTCAGGAACAAGGATGAGAATGTTTTGGGTTTTAGAACAGGACCAGAATGTATTGATTTAAAGGAATAGGGACAAGAATGTAGGACAGAAGTTTTTTGTTTGTTTTTTTCCAAAGAGAACAGGAATATTTATTGTTCTAGGAACAAGGGACAAGAATGTTTAGTGTTGTGTAGCAGTAGTTTATGTTGGTCAGTATTCACAAAAGAAAAACATGAGTATTTGCATGATATTGTTATATCCTTGCAGTTACTACGTGTATTTGCATGATATTGTTATATCCTTTTGCAGTTATGCAGTATCCTTGCAGTTACTACGTATATTTGCTGTATGTTTGAGAAGATGTGTGTGTATTTATGAATCATATGTATCATTACAGGAAATGTATGACAATGATATGATTGGGAAGGACTTCATGGGCAAGATACCACTGACTGTAGAGAAACTCAAGGAACTGTCTGTCAAGGTGAGATCCGGTGACTTCTGAACTGTTGTTCCAAACACTCAGTCTAAGCAATTTCAGGTATTTGATGGCATGTCATGATTAAAAGTACCATTCAGTAGATAAGCTGAACTTATGATGAGAAAAGACTTTTCCCAGAATCAGGTGTTGAACTAAAGGCTAATATCGCAGACTGCTGTTATTCCTTTAGACCTGGATCATGTGTTCTTGACACTACACTGTAGATGACTTTAGCAACTCTTTTGTCATGAGTATGAGCTCAACTGGAGAGAGATGGGATGCTCAACAGTTTATGTGTTCCACCCTCAGGGCACCACAGACTGGTTCCCTCTACAGAGGACGAAGAGCGGTAAGGTGCAGCTGAAATGTCAGGTCACCTGCAAAGATAACATGGTAAGTTGTGTGGAGACTTTTATTTCTTGGTTTTATGTTTTGTTTGCATGCTATGAATGTTGTACAGTGTAGTGCTGGAGGTTGGAATTTCTGTGAAACATGATTTATGGTAGTAGTCCGGATTAGAGTTTTCTGTGGCACCAAATCAGACTGGTTACTTTACAAGAGTGGTCACAATACCTGGAAATATGTTCAGATTTCATTTAGTTTATTTCCTGTCATTTTCAAACACAGCATTGAACCTTTTGTTGAACTTGAATGTAGTTTTTTTTGGTAATGAATATTTCTATTGTGTTACCCCATCCTTATTTGTAGTTTATGACTTCTGATATTTGTGCTTGCCTTTAAGTTGGTAGTTTTGTTGTAGATACATGTTTTTATTTGCGATTTTATTGTTTTGCTTCCACACATGGCTTCTAAACTAATCCATTACCAGCAATCTGTCACCATTGCAAAATGAATCCCATCTTAGCAAGTCAACCTGCTTTGAGGAAAAGAAAAACCTGGAACAGGATTTCATGTCTTTGTCCTGAATATCCCAAAATGATTATAGTGATCCCGTATATAGTTATATGGTTTTCCCTCCAACAAATTTTCAGTGTCTGCCCTTGGTGTTTGTCCTGCTCTGTATCAGCATGTGCTCTGTAGGGAGTCCAAGGGAAACTCTGTCCTCAGTACTACATTTACCATAAGACCTATCTAAAATGAGAATTGGATGATGTGGGTACCTGTCCACAAAGTGTTTGTAGCATTTTGACCTTTAGAAACTATAGAGTTTATCATAGTCTTACGAATCACAGAGAGCTACATATGCCTTGTGATGCCCAGCCTCATTGTGTGCCATCAGATCCTAATAGCTTGGATCTATGTGTCTAATCATAGGGCTGGTGGGGTAGCCTAGTGGTTAAAGCATTCGCTCATCATGCTGAAGACCCATTCCTCACATGGGTACAATGTGTGAAGTCCATTTCTGGTGTCCTCTGTCATGATATTGCTGGAATATTACTAAAAGCGGCATAAAACTAAACTCACTCACTCACTCACTCTAAACATCATAATATACTGGCCTCAATGAGCTTGCTTAAAGACAGTAGATTGCAGCATAAATATGTGTCCCTCACATTTACTGAACCGATTACTTAATTCAGGGTTATCCACAACCACTAGAGAACAAGTGACTGAGCACATTCAGTTTGAGACTTGTATAAAAACGTATGTAATAGATGTCTCGTGAAATCTAATTACATTTTGGTTATTTGTGGTCCAGTAGTTTGTATTTTTTGCCCCTGAGGGTATTGTTGAAATAGTTTTGAGGTACTGTGGCAGCAGAACTGGTACCTGTGATAGTTTAGCAGCCTTGTTGTTTTTTCCCTTGCTGTTCCTGTGATTCCTGCTTGTTTCCCTGCACAGAAGAACAAAGAAACGACTGACTCATTAAAGAATGATGTGTTTGACTCTCCCCCTGAGTCTCCTGCCAAGGTAAACGTGTTGACTCGGACACTCTTGTGTAGTAATAGTGTATGGTGTGGTATTAGCAACAAAAATATATATTGTAATATATGTCGATACAGGTATCTGTGTTGCATTGTGTTTTGCGATATAATGGGAGGTAAAATGTTTGATACTGATTGTACTTGAAGATCCTTTTTTCTACACTCTCAAATAAATATAAAGATGGATAAGTGAGCATTATCAATCCCTACCATTTTCTAAGCAGGGGGGATAACATAAGAAAAAAATCAGTCGGCATTTTTTTTTTTTTTTCAAATTTGCAGGGAAATGTGTGAATGAATTTCTTTGTAGATTTTAGGATAAATGATGCACATAATTATAACAATACCACTAATAGTTTAAAGGCCAAGTTTGTGGACAGTGTAAACAGTGCAATGCAATGAAAAATATTGCAATATTTATTAATATATTTATAATATTTATGACTATGTGGAGTGTCAACAAGTGATATTATTATCGCTAGCTATACTTGTATAACCAATATTTCTTACTCTAACTGCATGTGTATTCCAGTTTAGAATGGGTCCTCAGCAACCAATGCTGGTTGCCTGAGGTGAATGAAACAGTTAGGTTTGACTTCATTGACAACTTGTCATCCACCAGTGTTTTGGGGTGTCATTCATAGCATCAATATTTATTTTGTCAAAGCTCAATGAGTTTCAGACTACTGAATTAATAAACAATATTGGTTACTTGTTTGATAAATCACTGTCTCACTAAAATGGCACTTCATAAAAATAATGTGCATTTGATTTTATGAGAAATCTATTGTTATATGTGGACCTTACATTCGATTTCATAATAAAAAACTAACATTGAATCCTCTTATCCTGTTTTGAGCTAAATACTAGGGAAATAATATAACTTTACTTATAACTATACGAACATGAATTAGGAAGAATATTTATTCCAACTGGGACATTTTACTGATATTAACTCAGACTTATGGCCAAATACTAGCTACCAAGCAGCTATAATGAATTCTCTGAAAAGTATCCATTATGTCTATCAACAGCCAGTGCTACCAGACATGGTTGTGGACGACACGTACCTCAACTCTGTCCACCTCCCCTCCAACACCCTGATGGCCACCAGTCCACAGCAGGGACCCATTCAACGACTGTCAGCCACGATGCCCAGTGCACAGGTACGGAGGTCTAACTCCGACCTCACCAACAGCACCAACAGCAACAGACTGCAGGGGCGGCCGTGGGACCCAGAGCTTCAACATGTACCGTAAAGACAGTCTGACACTGCAGCTTCCTGGATTGAGGCCTTCAGAGTCGTAAGTGTTCATGGTTGATGGTTTCTGTTTCAATAGCTGAATGGTTTCAGGTGTTTGGCATGATATGGCAAGAACAGGCTATAATTAAGCAGTCCGCTGTAGTAAATATAATAATTTATACTATGTCTTTTAGTGGCATTTAGAAGTTGTACGTAGATGTCCAAGATATTTTTATGGATTAAACTTTTTTTTTATTTCCTTCACAACGTTTTCGGGACCATTCCAGGTCCCTTCATCAGGTGAACTGGATGGTTCCCGATGTGAGGGGAAATAAAACAGAAGTTTAATCCATAAAATATCTTGGACATTTTCATACACTAGGTTGTGTCAAATGTCAAGTTCACTTTGAAGGTCATTCACTCATGAAATAACTTGGAAATAGCTTCTTTCAAGAAGTGATTTTAGTGTGGTATGGAGATTTGATAATTGTATCATCAGCCTACCAAATACTATTCTTGCATGAGATTGGATGACATTGATGGTCAAGGTAACACAGCGTTGGAGTTTCGGTTTCAAAGTTGTACTGCTCTAAGCATTTATTTTCCTAAACTGGAAGTGCTGTCAGTAGACCGAAGTGCTCATAGCTTTGTAGTTACTATAGCTTGAGGTACAGGACTTACTGTTTCAATTTATGCTGCACTGGGCATTTGTCTTCACAAACAGGAATTGATAGCATTGAACTGGGAGAACATATTACACTATCTACAGCCATAAACCTCCCTTTTTCAAAGTTGTAGTGCATTGGGCATATGTGTGAGGTCAAATGTCACCTGATTTGTTCATGGTTCATGGTTCATGGTACATGTAGCTGACTGGGAAGATGTGATACACTCTTAAAAAGGAGGAGTGTTGTTTTGGCATGCAATGCAATAGTGGTGTTCCGATTAATTGAAATAATCGAAGATTGGTCGCAGTGGCCAAACGACCAAGCAATCGATCACATGTTCTCATAATCGAACACAAACGATTTTGGAACCACTGTAATAGAGTTTGAAATACTTGATGATGGAACATATTTAGGACGTTGTCCATGTTTAATTCTTAGAAAACTCACTTCACTTTCTGAAAAGTCATGACTGAATATTTCTTGAAGAATCTGGGAAGTTTATATTACAATGGAACTGAATCATTTTACACTGGATGTGAAATTTGCAAATGTAATTTGTGCAGTTTCTAAATAAAACAAAAAAACAACAACAGAGAACCAAATGTTTTTTTCTTTATACTTATTTGCAACTACAACCTGAATAAGAAAATCTAAAAAATAACGCTAACCAATTTTGTTCGATGATTGGTCGTTGGTATTGAACCAATCATCAATTGTGAGATTTCAACCAATTCCCAACACTACAATGCAAACACCATTTAAGTTTAACCTATTCTTAACCCTTAGCAAAAATATGTTGTTTTTAGGGAATTGTATTTAAAAAAAGTAGAATGTATTATGTATAATTCCTACAATTATCCTCCTTCTATTACACCACTTCCAAAAACCCAGTGTATTTTGGCTGTCATCACATTAATACAGTAATATTGTGTCATCACAATATCTGCAGATTTTCAACAGAGGTCCTCTTCACTGTCAACTATTCATTAACAATTGTACAGGAAATAGCATCTTGCTGTGTTACCATCTACCATTTTTGAAGAAGAAAATGAAGCCAGTTTTCATTACTGCTAACAGTTCTGGATACACTGAATTCAAATTCTGTATGACAGGACAAATTCCATAAACACTGTTACTCATTTGCTTTTGTGTCATACTGCTTACAAAATTTTGAGTCATGTATTTTTTTTTAATGAACTGATTATTACATTTACCCTGGTGGTATCCAATACTGAATTCTAAGTGATTATATGTTTGTGTTGGACAGAATCAACTCTTTAGCTGTGCTGCCGAAGTCACCAGGAGACAATATATCCCTCAGTAAGTATCATCGCCAGCAACTACAGCATCTCCTTTGCTGAAAGTACATCATGACATGTTGCTTTCTACACAGACATAGCAGCATTATGTTACAATATGGCTTCCACCGATTAGTCACTATGCACATCTTGTATAGAATAAGCCAATATCACCAACATAGATCTTTTCTTTTAGAAATTACAAATTCTCTCTCTTTGCACAAAATAATTTCCTGTTGTAGTATTGGCCTAACTGTTAATATAAAGATTTTGATCAGGACTATGTGGTCTCTCAATGATGTGCGTAGTTTCCTGATTTCCCTCTTCACCTTTCAGACGGTCATAACAGTTATTCTGCCATCTCTCATCCTATCTCAGTTCATTATTTTTGCGTGTTTTCCCTTATTTAGCATCATCAGCTCATGACACCACCCTTGGTAAGCTGTCTTGGACTGTCCCTGCTTCTAGCTAAACTGTCAATCTTGTAAAATCAGATCTTGGTGCTCGTGACAGCAAACATCTGGTCATGTCCCATTATTGGTCACATGCCATTATTTATCCGACCAATCAGAGCTTCACTTACCAGATTGGGGAAGTGACAGTCAGAATGTGTTTTCTAATCATCCAATCTCATAAGATTTACATGGGGTATTCTGAATTACAGTTACTGGCTGTATGACTGATTCCATCCAAATTGTCTTCTATCTAATGCTTCAAAGTGATGCAATTTCGTCTGTCTATTGGACATTAAGGAATTTTCTTTTGTTTATTTCCAAAGTATCTTTGGAAGCATAGTCTAGAATTGTAGTTGCCACTTTGAAACTTGGGCCATCAAAAGCTGCTTCCTGATTGGCTAATGGGGACTGCTGGTTCACTGGGTAATGACAAGTTCTTTCTGAGGTGGCCTGTAATGGGATGTCCTCAGGTCTTGTGTAGTGGTCATGAGCACTGTAATCAGATTTTAGTGAGATTGGATAAACTCTTTTTCTTTTGCCAAGCAAGGGTTGTCTCTTTTGCCATTTACTAAATTTGTCATAGATGTGTCAAGGCTTTGGAACCATTTCAAATGTTTACAAAAATATTTTGAAATTTCTTAAATTGTTCTGGCTTATGTATTTCATTTTGCTGTTGATGAGTCATTTTAGCAATTGTTTTAATGCTTTATATTCTTTCATCATCCTATTTGCACCCAACTATAGATAACCATTTATATATTTCTATAGATAACCAATTATTTATTTCATATACCTCTTTGTAATTTGGTGCAACTAATTGTATAGTTTTACATAAATATATATTTGAATACATGACACGTTTTATGGAAGTCAACTTCTTTTTTATTCTTTACACGATGTATTAACTTAATATATTTGTATACATTATTCATAGGGTAATTGGAAAAATAACTGATATTTCTCAAACAACCCTTGACTGGCAAATGTTTACCATGTCTTGTGTGCAGTTCTTGAAGTGTCGTGGCATGACAATCAAACTACAATATAATCATGTTCTATCCCTGTTGCCTTTGAGCTATATCATACACAGTGATATCCAAGTTCACAATTACAAATTATTCCCTTTATTAAGCTTTGTTAACTTCCTTTGAATAATTCATTGGTACATTGTCAAGATGTGTAGTCTTCTGTTGTCATGTAACCTGTTGTAACACAGGCAGGGATCTGTGATTATCTGATCAGATACACAGTTACCGTGATCTACAAACTCATCAGCATACTTGCTGTAATGTGTAAGGGGCGGTGGGGTACCCTCATGGTTAAAGCGTCAGCTCCTCAAGCTGAAGACTTGGGTTCGATTCCCCACATGGGTACAGTGTGTGAAGCCCATTTCTGGTGTCCCCAGCCGTGATATCGCTGGAATATTGCTAGAAGCGGCATAAAAATATACTCACTCACTGTAATGTGTAAGGGGCTCCTCTAGCTTATTGCTATAGGTTAGCCTGATGGTAAAAGTGTCCCCTCATCTGCAGTTCTTGCACACATGCTTGAACAAAGTCTAAATTGGAAGTGAGAGCCTGAAAAGGCTGTAACATTCTATGCAATGCACTTGAAAGGCATCAACGTGTCACAATTAGGACACAAATATGGCCAAAGGAAAGTTTCAGATGCATACATCGGTGAAAATATGAGCCTTTTCATGATATTCATGGACTGTTGTATCATAAAAATAAACCAAATACATAGAATGAAGAAATCAGATGTTTCATATTTGTAAATATGCATACATAACATTTTAGTAGATTATCATTTCATCAAAAATATCTTAATAGAAACTTAAAGAGTTTTGTAGGTCTTGTTGTTGTCACTTTAAGAGAGGGCTGAAAACATACAATGTAAAGGTGAAATATTTAAAATGTAACCCAGTGTAACGCACAGGTGAGTTATAGCAACTGTTTCTTCCTGTCCAGTATATTGTCCACTCTACACTGTTTCCTCTCCTGTACCATGTATATGTATCGTTGGTTTAGGGGCATGTTCTACAGCTGTAAGCGGAAAATAATCTATTTAATTAAATACAGATTAAAAATTGATAGTTTTAAAATGGGATAATTCAAATGGGAAAATAGTAGTAACACCCATGACTTGCCTGCTGTCTGAATAAACCCGACACAGTCAGTGTGTTCAGTATGATGTTTGTTTACCCTCTGGCTATCAAAGTTGATGATGGACTCCTGAGAGTTTCTAAGACTGCAGTTCTGTCCCCACAGTGAAGCACACGTGATACATGTGGTCTCACTTTAGGCAAGTGAGTTTGTTCAAAACTGCTTCTGTTCACCCACCAGAAAATGGGTATCTGATGGGATAAGTTACGTGACTATAACCTTCTAGCATCTCACAGGAGCCTTGGGTCATCCTGGGTAATAATGAACTGTCTGTTTGAGCATGCACTTTGTGTATGGAATTTAGCGCTATAGAAGTACGCATTATTTTTAAGGAGCTAGAATTTGGGCCAGAAACCTATGATCAAGGGTTTTAATTCTGGTCTGACATGCTGAAACAGTGTTCAGAGTAATGTTTAACCCAATCAGATGATATGGTCTCTGACCCAATTCACTCAATAGGATGTTGCCGTTGTATGTAATTAGCACCCTGAGTTTTCAACCACGTGTAAAGCCAAAAGGGCCCAGTCACAAAGATACAGTTTTGAATTTGGGCTGATTGGGAAACAATTATTTCTGTTTCCACCTCTTTACAATTTATAACGTCAATACTGATTCAATGCTTTGCAGACAGTAACCAATGAAACTACATGTAGATGCAACAAATATCATTAGTATGAATTCACAAACATTTAGATGGGTCTTAGATGGGAGGGAGTACCGTATGTGGTGTTTGGGTAACTGGGGCATAGTTAATGGAGGAGTGTTAATGAAACATATGACTTTATGGATAACAACTTCTTGTATATTGCACAGAGCATTGCTCAGTGTAGATTCTTACACCATTATCAAGCAGAAGAATCTACACCAAACGTTGCTGTATGCAGTAAGCAAGAAGTTGTTGTCCATAAAGTCGCATGCTTTGTTATTGACTCAGCAACTTCTAGAATGCTGATCAAACAATAAGGACAAGTGTTGGTAACACAGCTGATAGTATGTGAGATATGCAGCTAAAACAAAGGCCCTGTTGCTCGTGTGTCTATCATGAAGCTTGCAGACTCTACCTTGCTGTCACTGTTGAATGTTACTGCTGACTGTTATGATTCTAGAAGTGGAATCGTGTATGGTGCTGGATTTGCTCAGTTTTCATATCATTATCAGATCAGTTTAGTGAAACCAATACAGCTTCCTCAGCATACATGTCTATCCAGTCATTTCAATACTGACTTTGGATGGTGCTGCCAACAAGTATTGACGTATAATTTAACAAATCTGGCAAGCTTGTCAATTGGACGATTCTACTGGATGAGATCAAGTTTGTCAGTGGTCTCATGGACAGACGTTAGCTTTGACACAAATTAATGAATTTCAGGTCCTTTCAGTGGAACTTAGTTTGTAGACAAGACAAGATATACTCAGTAATAGGACGTGCAGTTAGTCATTGAGGACAGTTTAACACAAAACTGAAAGAATTTCAGGGTATTTAGTTTTGTATGGACCCTCTCTTGATTGAGTAAATTGTTTGACAGGCTTCGGAAGAGTTGTTTGAAAAATTATTAAATTGAAATACATTGTTCTTTTTGGTGTTTATTTTGATTAAATTTTAAACATTACATCAGTCCTTGATATATTTATACATTAGTTTTTCTATTTTTGGCATTATGTTGTCAATATGAACTTTAGATTTTGTATACATAGTGTAGATCGATATTGTATGCCTAGTGTAGAAATCTGCATGATTCACCCCAGTGTAGATCAATCCATCAGTGTACTGAATAAACGAGCACACACATATACATAAATTAAACCAGCATGCCGTTGTTACCAGTAGATACAGTGCTAACTCAACAGGGAATGGCAGTGGTGTACACCAAGAGACACAGCAAAGTTGGATATTTGGAAAGATTTAATTTAATTGTGATAATAATTTACAATAATTTACAAAATATTCTAACAGTTGAAGAAATGATTCTCATAAAGTGAAGTGAAACAGTTACTCCAAGTCTTGCTGTTTCAGAGAGAGTCAAGCTGTTAAAACATTATAAAGATTTGTCATTAAAAGTTACTTCAAGTTTTGCTGTTTCAGAGAAAGTCAAGCTGTTAAAACATCCTAGTAATGCGTTATTGTTAACAGTTAGTCTATGTTTTGCTGTTTCAGAGAAGGTCAAGTTGTTAAAACCTCTAGGTAATCATTTATTGTCATTTAAGATAGGAACTTATGCGCAGTGAAATAACCTGAACATCTAAACATGCTTGCCTTTGCTGGCCTTTGACTGTTGGTGGGTATTACTTCTGGGGTCATATTCTGATACTTCTGTCGTGTGTCCTGTTTCCAGACAGTTCTATTTGTGGAGATAAGCTGTACAGTGTCAAGGGCAAGGTCATGCAGCTGCGAGGACTGGACAGAGTGGACGGAGATATCTACTGTAAAGTCAGGCTCGAACAGTGAGTTTACACTCCGTTAAGCAAGCCATAAACATGAGGACTTTTATGTTATTAAACCTCAGTGATTTTTTAAACCAAGGGGCTTCTTGGTTTAATGTTAATGATCTTTTAATGTTAACCCATCTGTGATGTCATCTTTTTATGCAGCATTTATTCAGAGTATTTTAACGTTTTCCTTCCATTGTTGTTACGGGTCTCTCTCAGTTCATCTCAAATCTAAAAGAGACAAAATTGTTAACACTGCAAGTAAAATCGCTGGAGTCAGATTTGAATGTTTATCATCAATATATGAGCGGCAAATCGTGAATCAAGCTGTCAAAATCATATCTGACCATACTCACTACTTAAATTCGGAATACAACCTCCTCCTTTCAGGCTGCAGCTACAAAGTTCCAATTGTGAAAACTAAGAGAGCCCATACATCCTTTATTCCAAGTACCATATCTCTCTTAAACAAATGTGAAGATGCCTAAATCAATGAATTTATGTAAATATGTTTTCTATCTTTCTAATGTGTGAGTAGCTCTGCTGATGTAACACAAATTCCTGAAACGGCATTCCTTGTCATGAATGATGGCATTCATCACCACTCGCCCCTTTCCGTAACCTACAAGAAGACTCGTCCCCCTATCGATGCTTGTTATGTGCGAAAATACGACAAACCAATCAGAACGCGCATAATGGATGCAGTGCTTTGAGAAAAATAATCCTGACTACTTAAAACGTTTATGGCATTATTTTATTGTTTAAAAAATCATGAAAAATATATATCGTCTTATTGAAAGTACTAAGAACGTAGCTAACAGAATTGTGCTGTCTAATGTGAAGTTTTTGATAAGAATCATGCGATTGATGGAGCGAGATTCAAATACACGCACGTGAGTTTGTTGACTTAACGGATCTCATGGGTCAATCTGAGTGTATTTCTAGTGATTTTGTTGTGGTTATTGTACGTTACATGAATGTTCAGTTTGAGAAATATTTTAAAGTCATATTTGAGTATCTGCTTTGGGATTTAATGTAGCGGGAAAATTATTTTATTTGTATATTCAATAAAAATATTCCCATTTGTGATTATTAAACCATATTTAGAAAATTAATATAATTGGAAATATTAGGTGAACAGTTGGTAATAATTACATTAGATTATGTCTTTAACAAATACATGTATGTTTTTCTCATTTTAGTTGTATCAATGGTTTAATTCTTAAAATAAATAAGTTGAAACAAAAAAAACAGCAATACAATGTACGAGTGCTTTGGTGGTATTAAGAAACATTGGAATCAAACAGGGATAGAGTTACCGTTCTTGTTTAATGTAGTTCTGATGTTCATGCGCCAATATGAAATCCTTCCAGAGGGGCACGAGTCGCTATTCGGCTTGTCCTGGAATAACACGGGTTGGTCACGAATGGAATGATGGTAGTGGTACAGAAATACCACACAGAAGCCATACAATACTCTAGTCATGTGACATTCAACACAGTGTCAATCTGGTCTTCTAATAATGATCACCATCAATTATTGTTGTATGCTGATTTGGTATCAGAGCATCACAAATACAGATGTATAAACACGGCTATGTCCAGTGTACTACTTCTCTATTCTTTGATGCTGAATACATGAATTTGACGGTAGAAATAAACATTAGTCTGTACGGACGTAGAAACCAGTCTCCCTTTTGAGGGGTGATTCTGAATGATGTTATTGGTCTCTCCAGTTCCTGCGTGCTGATGTTGTAGTTGTCTGTTTCAGTCAAAGCCGGAGTAGTCGACTCAAGCTGTTCTCCAACACCCGTGTGATCGCCAAGTCCCCCATCATCAGCTCTTCCCATCCAGATGTCAACCTGACATTCGAGGTAGGGAACACTCCTATGTTACCATGGATACCTCTTCCTTCCTACTGGACTGGACTATCTACTGTATTGCTGTCTGTTTTTTGGGGGGTCAAAATATAAAATACATGAATGCATGCAACATTACTAATTATCATGTACATTCATTTATGCCATGGTAGATATATGAACTTGAACAAGATTGGCTTATGGGGTATATCTGATTCATTATGGAAATGTTGGCGGAAGGTTGTTTGTACTACCCTTGGGTAACATTCAAGAAGTAAAATAATCATAACCCACATTCTTACCAGTATATATGATGTGGGTTAAGTGCCAATGTTGACATATAAACTTCAAGTATATGTAGACTTCACATTATTTTGTCACATGCTGCAGGTTGATCGAGGCCACGGTGTGTCGAGTGACGATGTCCTCATATTTGATGTGAAGCAGTCCAGTAAAGATCATTTGGCAACAAAAGGTTTTCCTCTCAAGGACCTCCTAGCTGGTAAGTGATCTAAATGAAATAGAGGTCATCATCAAGCATTGCATGAAGACTCCATACAATCCTTACATTTTATATAGGGTAACTTTGTAACTGCTGGCAAAAGTATCAAACCAGTTTTGTGCCCTTGTATGATAAATGATTTGTTGCAGTTCATAAAGCTACATCATCTACACGTTAGGCAAGTTAAATTATGGTGTTCCTATTTCACAGATGGGCTTCACATGTTTGGCTCGGGAATGTTTATAGTATCAGACCAATGTCAAACATGAAGTATTTCATCAATTAATAACTGGGTGCAATTAAAATAAGTGAACTAACCACAATGCTAAAAATAGCACACAAAGCAGGTGCCCCTTCAGGTGAACTTCTTGTTTGCAAGACATGATTATGGAAGACCATCATCCAAGAACCTCCATATGCACTGTAGTAGATGCATATTCATTACAGAAAATACATGCCACATACATATATCAAGTCTAAAAGGACAGTATTATGTTATGTTTGAACTGGTTTTTTTTAGGTTAGTACATGTATTATGTTATTAGGATAGTTATGCTTTGTTTGAACTGTTGTATTTGGATAGTACTATGTTGTTAGGATAGTACTATGTTATATTTGACTGTTATTTCTTCTGTGTTGTAGACTGTGATGCCAGTGGCATTGTGACATGGCTGAAGTTGGAGAATGGTATCGATGTTGAGATTTCACTGTCGTCAGGCTCCCCTAGTCCAACCCACCAGCGTTCAGCTCGAATCCTCAAATCACTGTCATTTAGGAGAGACAAGTGACCTGCTTAACACTGTCTCTAGAGAACTGGAGCATGAATATGTTCTTACATCATGGATGAAGATCACCTTTCACGTGCAGGCTGTATATGGCGCTGTGCCAAAAAAATGACATTCTTAGTTTCGATGTGGACTTGGCAAATATCGTTTGATCAGGAATTGAGATATTGAAATTTTACTTGAATAACATTTGTTTATGAGGAAGAATTACTTTATTTAACTGACTCACTGAAAGATGTAAAGATTTATTTTTAATTTATTGGATATGAAATTGTAGCAAAGCAAAATATGAAATGGGCATTTTGCCAGCCTCTTTAAATGATATATGAGTATATGTGTGTATATACATTTGCTCTTCACTACATCTCCAAGAGTGTTGTCTAGCCATCTGTTACAACAGGGGAGATAATGTCTAACAGACACTTCAGCCAAAGTCCATATACAAAGTCAAGAGTTAATCATAAACTATGACCCAGCTTTCTTTTCTGTGAGAGAGATTCTTCAGATCAGCATAAAATTGTGTTCAGTGACATTTTTCATTTGATGTGAGGATGAATTTTCATGCGAAGATAATTCCATCTACTCTGAACATGATATGTTAAAGTGGCTTTCTGCTTTTATTTCATTGTGAATATCCTAGGTCATAACAAATTTTGCTATCATCCAATGTTGTGAATTATTTAATGGTGATGTTGTATTAATGTAACTGTATGGCTTAAAGAAAAAGATTATTGTTTTTGCATGATTTGACCAATCTATTGCTTGACACCCTATTGATTTTAATATTTAGTATAATAGTCATGTAGAATCTCGCACTGTATGTTTGTAGGCTCAACTGTATTAAGCTAAGTCAGTATTGCTGTAGAAAACAGTTTTTCATCATTTGCATGTAGACTGCTTGTATAATTATCAACTGATTATTATGTTATTTTTGTGGAACTGTTAGTGGAATGATGGAATGAGTGAATTCAGAGTTTACATGTCTGAAACAAAGTCAAGTATGAGAGGGACTGAATGGACCAAGATTCAAACCCAGACCATAATCATACAGAGTTTTCATACCATCATGTTAACCCACCTCCCCACATGAAAACTATAGGCTTTATACCACAAGAAGTATCATCTTTGCAATGCTTACCATGATCTAAAAGATCATTGGCCAAATTTTGTAATTTCTTGTAGTCTTTGATTAATTAATTCAATAATTTCAAGATACAACCAGTACCCAAAGTGATTATTTATTATACCGATATTATTTGGATGTTTTATGAGTGTGTAAATGTTCTTAGGAACATTGCCTGACAGATGTTCACGAAGATATGCTGATGATCTGATAATGTATGGTACTCAATAGAAGTTAAAGCTTGATTCTTTCATTTTATTTTTCATTTCATTATATTTGATCTTTCATGTCAAGAGACTGTAGCATGTGATAGATTTACAAAATGACTCCTTATCACTCTGAAAACATAAATGAGACTAATATGTACTTGCCTCCAAAATACCTTTTGATGCAGTGTAATTCTTTTGAAGAGCAAAATATTTGCCTTGGAAATTTGGTGAGTCAGCATGTGTTTAGGATGTTGTATGTGAAGTGAGTAAGTTTACTGGAAAGGCAGCAGTGCCCCATGTACTGTGTAACAGTCTGTGTAAATGGTGTAGTGGTGTTACTTGATATAATAGTCCTACTGGTGTATGCTACGCATGATTGAAGTTCATATTCTGTGTGTCACGTTTGTGATTGTAAGGGACCGTTCATAATTTATGGCTTTGGGTGTGTGGGTGGGTGTGTTTGATGATTTGGGGTGGGGTGGGGTGGGTTGGGGTGTTCACCCATTTTGTTCTGGTGAGCTAGGGGGTCACAAAAATATTTGTAGATTATGCTTAGAAATTATGGGAAGAGGAGGGGGTCATTGATTTTGTACACATGCAAGGGGGACGTCACTTATTTTGTGCATAAATTGGGGGGGGGGGGGTGTGTGTGGGGTTGTCATTCACATTGTACACGCTTTTCCATAAAAATCATCATCACCCCAACCCCAGCCATAAATTATGAGCAGTCCCTAATTTTATTTCATTGGGTGTTGTGGATTTAGGTTAGAGGTGATAGTCTTGATTCCTCTCCTAGTGCTGTATGTGTTTCAGTAGAAGATAATACCATATTCCTTCTGGGATCAGCTATCAGGGGTTGTCTGCGTGGTGAAATCCTACCACCAGATCCTCTGTGGGTCTTTATGGCTCAACTCTATTGCTTTAGGTTATCGCCTTGACTTACTTGGATTAGGGATACTTGACATCAATAAAAATGGCAGCGAATAACAAATATACATCATTTATCTCCAGGAAACACAAAAAAAATGCATCTTTGTTATGTCAAAAGTTTACACTATTGACAGGGATTGAAAAACTACAATACTGCATAAATAGCCTTTACTTTATAACACTGCTCAAGTCATTAGAAAAGAAACAGGACATTTCAAAGTTTATGAAGCATGTGGATCTGTGTTTCAAGCTTTAGAAAAGATCAGTGTCATACAGAGTAGGCTGATAAACCCTGTCAAATGGTCCTGATAGACTACTTTGAAAGTTAAAGATTACCTGTTTCAATTTAGTTGAAGGACTGTATGACCTCACTTCAAACACGGTATACCCACCACTGTGGTTGTGAAGCAATAGCGACTTCCTTCCTTGTCATGCACTGAACAAACATATCATCCCTTGCTCATTGGTTATGAAGAGACCACTTTCTTAAACATATACAAATGTTTGGTACACAGGAGAAACCTGTGATTTCTTTCAGTATTTTTATAACTATGGAAAGATCAACAGTGGTACTGGGTCCATTAGATGAATTTGTAAGCCATGTTTATGTTATTTTACTGCTTTGTTAAGATTTCTGTCAATATTTTTTTTTCTTCTGTGATTTGCTATGAATCCTCTCATCTTGCCATTCATAATAGTCACCATGTGCATGTACTGTGGATACTAGAAAACAGACACCTGGTGACCTGTGAGTCATAGGAGTGAACTACAGTTGACACACCCACTAAATGGTGAAATCTGTCAACGGTGTCCTTAGATGTTTTTGTGTTATATTTGTATTCATCAATTAATTCAAGCTGAATTGAAAATACATTCATTTATTTCAAAATTTAAACAACTTAGAATACATGTATGTAGTTCTGTCAGTATCATATATACACTTCGATAAGGTTGTGACGTCAATCTGAAATTATATCTACTACCCATGTGCTTTGTTTCTTGTCTGTATCTATGCAAATCTCTCAGGAATGTATGCTTGAGGTTGGTTCCTTGTAATGAAGTGGTCATGATTGTTGTTCCTGAATAACATGATGTTACTTAATCTTGAATATATTTATTATCTATACCATTATTTTCATTTTTACTTTGTGAATGAAGATGTCATAAAATACTTTAACTGGCTGTGTTTTAATTGTGACTGTTTTTGTTATTCTGTATGTGTGTTAAACAAAAGGTGCTTTCAAGTGTGAGTCAGACTACCAATATAAGCCTATGTACCATACTTAAATCAACATGCAGTGTTTCTTGTTTCTGTTGTAACAACCTATCAAGTGTATTGTCCTTATTTCAATGAGCAGATCATTTAGTACTTTCTAGAATTTGATAATTTCAAACTTTGTTTTAAAAAAAATAATTTTAAAAGTCTTCTTGTTATTATGATGTAGGATTCCAGTAAACTGTTGGTAAATAAGACACCTCAACTGTTGCCATGGATATTGTTTATATAGGGACAGAGTGTGTGGAGATAAATGTATTCTCAAGAATTTATTGGATACGGCCATGGAAGTGACATGTTTGTCACGACTTCATTTTAACTTATCAAAAAATATACCGTATTAAACATATTTAGCACCCTTGATAGAAATATCTAGCAAGCAAGAACGCTCATCCCAAAGTCATTTTTTGTGGTCAAATTCAAGACCACTGATGAGATAATTGTTTCTGGTTACTCAACAGGTTTGTTGGCAGATGGCTTGTGGGGGGACTTAAAACACTCTGTATAATTGATATTGCTGTACTGTTGTCCTGAATTTCAACAACAAATGAAATTGTACAGAAGTTCAAGTGTATCCTGCATTGTCAATTTGAACCATTGTTTTCATATTATCAGTTTTTATAAATTCTAGAAATTTGGCAGCACATTGAACTAGTTAAACTTGCTGACAGTCGACTGGCCGACTCTAAGGCTTCTCATGTCACTCCAAAGGGACCACATCATGTATGCACGTTCTTGGAGCTTATCATCATCTCAATATGATCACCAAACAACTTGCATCAAAGGAAACTATTTCTATATATCTTTCAAGTCTGAAGTCAACAATTATATGTTTATGGTTGAAATAGATTACATACAATGCTTTGAGATGTTTAAGATGCTTTGGAAGACTTAGGCATTATATATCAGAAATATATTACTCCAAAACAAAAATGTGAAGAGGTAAATATAAAACTGAAAACAACTGTATAAGAACTGGATAGGGGAAGGGAGGTAACTGTTTGAATTTACAGGAAGCGCCCATTGCTTACATTTGTTTCTTTTACCAGTACTTTTGAAAAATATATGTCAACCACTTAAGTAAAAATGGCTTTATCATAATATTTAGTTCATGGACACCAAATATTGGGCATAGTGTAAGTGTGATAATTGCCAGTGTGGATACTGCAGGGATGAGAATGAAGCTTTGAGAAAAACTAGCTGAAGCTATGGTGACTCTAGCTGAAACTCCTGATATTTAGGCATTTTAGACCTTTAAAACTGGCTCAGAAATGACAATATCATGAACACCGCAACCATTAAAAAACTTTAAATCTGCTGAAGCACATTCATACAATTGTCAACAGATTTAGACGATTCACAAAAATGACCCTTTGGCCTTATGAAATTCTCATCCCTCATACTGGGTAGAAGAACAGTGTTTGCATCTTTTAATGTGATGATCTTGGTCCATGTAGAAATTTCACACGTTCCATCTTCAGGCTGTTTCAGTTCTGATATATAATGGCATCATTGAAAGATTTTAAGCTTTTATTATTGGTATTTTTTGGCTCAGTAGAAAATGTATTCTGGCTAAAATAGATTGCTTGTTCCCATTTTACCATGATCATTTCACAAATCATGTTACAGTGTAAAAATTCATGTTCTATGGCAGACCTATATTATGGAACTGTTATCTATATTTGTTACAAGATATTACACACCAGGAAGGAAACCACTTCGTTAGTGAAATACTTGCTGCGCACATGACATGGCATTGTTTGATCATAGATATTCTAAATAAACTTTTATCTAGTTGTTAGTTGTTTCTGAGTTTTTCTTCCTTTTTAAACATATAGTCATAATCATGGACTGACTGAGAGTTTGGTTTTACGCCGCTTTTAGCAATATTCCAGCGGTATCACGGCTAGAGGGATACCAGAATTGGGCTTCACTCATTGTACCCATGTGGGGATTTGAACCCGGGTCTTCGGCGTGACGAGCCAACGCTTTAACCACTAGACTACCCCACCGCCCCCTGTAATCATGGAGAAGTATGGTCTTAGGCTGTTTTACCAGCTAATGTAGATGCCTATCAGTGGAATTTACCCATTCTACTTCTGTGGGATTCAAACCCAGGTCTTCGGCATAATTGAACACTTGAACCAATAGGCCACCCACCATCTTCATGAGTGTAGAACCCGAGAAGATCCGGGTTATATTTGATCTTCAGTAACCCATGCTTGTTGTAAGAGGCTCGTTACGGGATCGGGTGATCAGGCTCGCTGACACGTCATTGTGTCCCAATTGTGTCGATCAATGCTCATGCTGTTTATCACTGGATTGTCTGGTCCAGACTCGATTATTTACAGACCACCGCCATATAGCATTGCTGAGTGCAGCATTAAACAACTAATCAAGAGTGTAGTAACCAAATGTAGTAACCAGCACCAGCTCACCTGTAATTGTAGACGGCAGTTTGAAAATGTCCACAAGACAGTTTCAAAGACAAAGTGTTATTCAAATATTTTCCACATAAATACTGAACAATAACTTACACTAAAATCTAATGATTTGAACGAACAAACTGTCACAAGGAGAAATAGACATGCCAAAATTTTCCAAAAAGGAAAACAAATCTCAAATACACTTGAACAGAAATGTCTAAGACCTTAAGAAGTTTGGGTATTGTTATTCCAAACTGGAAAGTCATATTCACTGTTGCACTTGATCTTTCCACACTTTTATCCATACACCTCCACATACATCTTTTGCAAAACTGAATTACTGTCTGTCTGTACAACCTTTCGTTGATGTATAAAGCAAAGGGTTAACGGCTTATTCCCGCTTTCCAGAGGCCACTTGGAAGACAAGCCCATTTTATCAACTCTTTTACTTTCTAAAAAATGCATTGTCTGTCATTTGAAATAATAGTAAATAGTATTCAAAAAGGACTTCAATATATACATCCCAAATTGAGGACCTCTTTACACTCCCAACTTTAGAATAGTTTTTGGACTGAACAAAAAATACCCACAACACCCTAAATCTCATTGATAAATATTTGATTTCTGCAGGGTTTACAAATAGGAAAATTATGAAGTTTTATGCCTATTTCTATTCTAACCCTTTATGATCACAGCACAGTCCTTGAGTTGATGGTGTATCTAAAGCACTTTAAATACTAATAATTATGGCCACTTATAATACCACACTATGATTAGTCAAGTGCATGACATAATTACCCAAGTCAATTG